AAAGAAAAGCGGGTCAAGAATTGCTACTTTTTATTAGGATAGCTAGAGAGCTGTGCTTCTACTCCGCACTGGGGCATCCATTGAGGACCCTGTATAGCAAGTCTGAAGGCCCTACGACAAAGTTCATTTTTTGGTCTGAAAACGAAAGAAGGTTAACCCCTTTGAACATTTTTCGAGTAATTCGAGGCGTCAGAATGGGTTGAAAACTTGTATATAGAATGTTCCCGATGTGCTCAACAAGAATCTGGAGTCTGTTTCTATTTTTCTCACTTGGTTCCTGAGATATTCGCATTAATAATTGAAAAAAAATTGTCTGAAAAATCGCTGGAATATAATGACCAAGAAATTCTTTTCGTGGGCAAGATACGTGGATGAATTCAGTTCTGCCAGAAATTCAGTAGTTCTCATGACATCTATCTCCAGTGAATTGAGGTACTAGATCGAGCCATTTTACATCAAAGGTACCGCAAAGAAAGAAAAGCGGTCAAAAATTGCGACTTTCTTATTTGGAAAGTTACAGCGCTGTGCTTCTACTTCGCACTAGGGCATTCCTTGAGGACCCTGTATACCAAGTTTGAAGGCCCTACGACGAAGTTCATTTTTTTGTCAGAAAATGAAATAAGGTTAACCCCTTTGAACATTTTTCAAATAATTTGAGGCGTCAGAATGGGCTGAAAACTTGTATATAGGATGTTCTCGATGTGCTCAACAAGAATCTGAAGTCTGTTTGTTTTTATCTCTATTGGTTGCCGAGATATTCGCGATCAAAAATTGAAAAAATTTACACCCGGAAGATCGCTGAAATCGAATTTTTTTTCGTGTGCAAACTAAGTGAATTTTTTTCCGCCAAAATCGTAGGCAGTTCTCATGACATAGATCTCCAGCCTATAATGAGGTACTAGATCGAGTAATTTTTTATCGAAAGGTACCGCAAGGAAAGAAAATCGGGTCAAGAATTGCTACTTTTTATTAGGATAGCTAGAGAGCTGTGCTTCTACTCCGCACTAGGGCATCCCTTGAGGACCCTGTATACCAAGTTTGAAGGCCCTACGACAAACTTCATTTTTTGGTTTTTAAAAGAAACAAGGTTAACCCCTTTGAACATTTTTCGAATAATTCGAGGTGTCAGAATGGACTGAAAACTTGTATATAGGATGTTCTCGATGTGCTCAACAAGAATCTGAAGTCTGTGTGTTTTTATCTCTATTAGTTGCCGAGATATTCGCGATCAAAAATTGAAAAAAATTCACACCCGGAAGATCACTGAAATAGAATTTTTTTTCGTGTGCAAACTAAGTGAATTTTTTTCCGCCAAAATAGTAGGCAGTTCTCATGACATAGATCTCCAACCTATAATGAGGTACTAGATCGAGCCATGTTACATCAAAGGTACCGCAAAGAAAGAAAAGCGGTCAAAAATTGCGACATTCTTATTTGGAAAGTTACAGCGCTGTGCTTCTACTTCGCACTAGGGCATTCCTTGAGGACCCTGTATACCAAGTTTGAAGGCCCTACGACAAAGTTCATTTTTTGGTCTGAAAATGAAACAAGGTTAACCCCTTTGAACAATTTTCAAATAATTCTAGGCGTCAGAATGGACTGACAACTAGTATACAGGGTGTTCTCGATGTGCTGAACAAGAATCTGAAGTCTGTTTGTTTTCATCTCTAATGGTTGCCGAGATATTCGCGATCAAAAATTGAAAAAATTTACACCCGGAATATCGCAGAGATCGGATTTTGTTTCGTGGACAAACTAAGTGAATTAATTTCAAAGCCTATAATGGGGTACTAGATCGAGTCATTTTTTATCGAAAGGTACCGCAAGGAAAGAAAAGCAGTTCAAGAATTGCTACTTTTTATTAGGATAGCTAGAGAGCTGTGCTTCTACTCCGCACTAGGGCATCCCTTGAGGACCCTGTATACCAAGTTTGAAGGCCCTACGACCAAGTTAATTTTTTGGTCTGAAAATGAAAGAAGGTTAACCCCTTTGAACATTTTTCGAATAATTCGAGGCGTCAGAATGGGTTGAAAACTTGTATATAGGATGTTCTCGATGTGCTCAACAAGAATCTGAAGTCTGTTTCTATTTTTCTCGTTTGGTTCCTGAGATATTCGCATTGAAAATTGAACAAAAATGGCTGAAAAATCGCTGGAATGATGACCAAGCATTTCTTTTCGTGGGCAAAATAAGTGGATGAATTCAGTTCTGCAAAAATTCAGCAGTTCTCATGGCTTCGATCTCCAGCTTATTGAGGTACTAGATCGCGCCATTTTACATCAAAGGTACCGCAAGAAGAGAAAAGCGGGTCAAAAATTGCTTCTTCCTTATTTGGAAAGCTGAAGCGCTGTGCTTCTACTCCGCACTAGGGCATTCCTTGAGGACCCTGTATACCAAGTTTGAAGGCCCTACGACAAAGTTTATTTTTTGGTCTGAAAATGAAACAAGGTTAACCCCTTTGAAAAATTTTCAAATAATTCGAGGCGTCAGAATGGACTGACAACTAGTATACAGGGTGTTCTCGATGTGCTGAACAAGAATCTGAAGTCTGTTTGTTTTTATCTCTAATGGTTGCCGAGATATTCGCGATCAAAATTGAAAAAATTTACACCTGGAAGATCGCTGAAATAGATTTTTTTTTTCGTGTGCAAACTAAGTGAATTTTTTTTCCGCCAAAATAGTAGGCAGTTCTCATGACATAGATCTCCAGCCTATAATGAGGTACTAGATCGAGTCATTTTTTATCGAAAGGTACCGCAAGGAAAGAAAAGCGGGTCAAGAATTGCTACTTTTTATTAGGATAGCTAGAGAGCTGTGCTTCTACTCCGCACTAGGGCATTCCTTGAGGACCCTGTATACCAAGTTTGAAGGCCCTACGACAAAGTTCATTTTTTGGTCTGAAAATGAAAGAAGGTTAACCCCTTTGAACATTTTTCGAATAATTCGAGGCGTCAGAATGGGTTGAAAACTTGTATATAGGATGTTCTCGATGTGCTCAACAAGAATCTGAAGTCTGTTTCTATTTATCTCACTTGGTTCCTGAGATATTCGCATTGAATATTGAACAAAAATGGCTGAAAAATCGCTGGAATGGTGACCAAGAATTTCTTTTCGTGGGCAAAATAAGTGGAAGAATTCAGTTCTGCAAAAATTCAGTAGTTCTCATGGTTTCGATCTCCAGCGAATTGAGATACTAGATCGAGCAATTTTACATCAAAGGTACCGCAAGGAAAAAAAGCGGGCCAAAAATTGCTTCTTCCTTATTTGGAAAGCTAGAGCGCTGTGCTTCTACTCCGCACTAAGGCATCCATTGAGGACCCTGTATACCAAGTTTGAAGGCCCTACGACCAAGTTAATTTTTTGGTCTGAAAATGAAAGAAGGTTAACCCCTTTGAACATTTTTCGAATAATTCGAGGCTTCAAAATGGGTTGAAAACTTGTATATAGGATGTTCTCGATGTGCTCAACAAGAATCTGAAGTCTGTTTCTATTTATCTCACTTGGTTCCTGAGATATTCGCATTGAAAATTGAAAAAAATGGCTGAAAAATCGCTAGTTTTTTCTTTGGGAAAATACGTGGATGAATTCATTCCTGCCGAAAATTCAGTACTTCTCATGGATTCGATCTCCAGCTGAATGAGGTACTAGATCGAGCCATTTTACATCTAAGGTACCGCAAAGAAAGAAAAGCAGTCAACAATTGCGACTTTCTTATTTGGAAAGTTACAGCGCTGTGCTTCTACTTCGCACTAGGGCATTCCTTGAGGACCCTGTATACCAAGTTTGAAGGCCCTACGACAAAGTTCATTTTTTGGTCTGAAAATGAAACAAGGTTGAAAAATTTTCAAATAATTCTAGGCGTCAGAATGGACTGACAACTAGTATACAGGGTGTTCTCGATGTGCTGAACAAGAATCTGAAGTCTGTTTGTTTTTATCTCTATTGGTTGCCGAGATATTCGCGATCAAAAATTTACACCCGGAAGATCGCTGAAATAAAAATTTTTTTCGTGTGCAAACTGAGTGAATTTTTTTCCGCCAAAATAGTAGGCCGTTCTCATGACATAGATCTCCAGCCTATAATGAGGTACTAGATCGAGTCATTTTTCATCGAAAGGTACCGCAAGGAAAGAAAAGCGGTTCAAGAATTGCTACTTTTTATTAGGATAGCTAGAGAGCTGTGCTTCTACTCCGCACTAGGGCATCCCCTGAGGACCCTGTATACCAAGTTTGAAGGCCCTACGACCAAGTTCATTTTTTGGTTTGAAAAAGAAACAAGGTTAACCCCTTTGAACATTTTTCGAATAATTCGAGGCCTCAGAATGGGCTGAAAACTTGTATATAGGATGTTCTCGATGTGCTCAACAAGAATCTGGAGTCTGTTTCTATTAATCTAACTTGGTTCCTGAGATATTCGCATTGAAAATTGAACAAAAATGGCTGAAAAATCGCTGGAATGATGACCAAGAATTTCTTTTCGTGGGCAAAATAAGTGGATGAATTCAGTTCTGCAAAAATTCAGCAGTTCTCATGGCTTCGATCTCCTCTCCAGTGAATTGAGGTACTAGATCGAGCCATTTTACATCAAAGGTACCGCAAGGAAAAAAAGCGGGTCAAAAATTGCTACTTCCTTATTTGGTAAGCTACAGCGCTGTGCTTCTACTCCGCACTAGGGCATCCCTTGAGGACCCTGTACACCAAGTTTGAAGGCCCTAGGAGAAAGTTCATTTTTTGGTTTGAAAAAGAAACAAGGTTAACCCCTTTGATCATTTTTCAAATAATTCTAGGCGTCAGAATGGACTGAAAACTAGTATATAGGATATTCTCGATGTGCTCAACAAGAATCCGAAGTCTGTTTCTATTTTTCTCACTTGGTTCCTGAGATATTCGCATTGGAAATTGAAAAAAATGGTTGAAAAATCGCCAAATATATAAACATGAACAATCAAAACAAAAAACATTGGTGGGAATATATAGGTAGGTAATGAATAAAAAATAAAAACTAAAATATATCTCGTATATTACAGTTTCATTTGTCCCATAAACCTAATTCTTTCATTTTAGTTTGAAAGTACTGCTGCAAATTCTCAGCACAAAAGTAGTACTCCGATTCGGGAGGATTGTATATCTTGCAGTTGGTGAAAATCCTCATCATGTCGGCAATGAAAAGCCTCCTGGATACATAGTACTTCGATTTCAGTCTGTCTGCCATCGTTTTCAAATCTACAAGAAATAACAATACAATAGTAGTCACGGCATTGCCTAAGGCATCCCCCCACCACTTAAGAAGCGGAACTTATGCAAGAAGGCGTGTCTTATACAGGAAAGTGAAGTAGGCGGGGCCTGACAGCTTGGTCTTGATTGGCTGACATCAACGTAGGAGGTGTGTCTTTGAAGTGATTGGTGGTAGTGAATGTAGTGAAAATGGGTGGGATGATTGTTGTTTTGAAGAGTTGAGGTTGGTCGTGTACTTGGATTGAGGAACAATATCGACGATATTTTGAGTAGGGCTGTGGTTTTGAAGTGATTGATGATATGTGGTGTTTCCAGAGTAGAATATTGCAAGTTTTGAGGGGATTTGGTTCAAATAAACCTACCAGGATTAGGAAATTTCTTATAATTTGTGAAAATAAGTTAGGAGACGAACAAAAATTTAAAAATAACTTACCCATTGGATATTTGATGTGATCATTATAGTCGGGGGCATCATGTTTGTCTACCGGTAGCCTGAAAGGCCATGAGTCATCTTGAGCTTTGACCTGAAAACGAAAACTCTTAACTAACAACCATCCTGGAGAGTAAAGTTCAATGTGAAAGTTGGAACTTACCGCATTGAGTACCAGTTTAAGCATCCCTGCTAGGGTATCAACATCTTGAGATTCTTCCAACTGCTGCCCTCTGGTGGTCCTCGAAGCCGGTTTCCACCCAGTTTCTTCTATTCCGGGAATGGACTCTATTGGAATACTCCTAACACCTAAGAAAATGTCATTCAAATGAAATAATCTGCGAACAATATCAGTTTCACTTTGAATTGCAAAGTTTTTTTCGAATTTATGTGAATTGAGAATGAAATTGGTCCCAAAATTGATCCTTGTGGTACACCACACTCAATATCTGTACGGTTATGATTAATATCCCCAATTCTCCCAGGGAAGTGTACAAATGATGAAATTTAGGGGTTGGAATTGGAGTTCCTCAAGGAACAGTTCTTGGACCTTCACTCATCACCATCTACCCTATGAAACAAAGAAAACTGAAAATATTTCAGTGTAAACATTTGTTGGAAGATGACTTGCCTTCTTTGAAAAATGTTACTCCCGGATGTATTTTCGAGACTGTCGTTTGCTGTTGATAGATCAGCTGTTTGACGAATTTCATCTGCCTCCTCACGATGCTCGTAAACTCTGTATAAATTATTTTCGGGTTCAGCTCGCAGTGCATCAGAGTGGCCCCTTCGTAGTCTTTGATGTAGCCCTGATACACGGCCCTGTTCATTTTGATGTCCTTGGAGAAGCCCTGCCTTTCAAAATAACCTAAAATTACCGGAAATCGAATGAAAATGCTCGGGAGACAGTTTCCTTCTTTACCTATGGCATTTTCATCGGCAAACGTCAAGAAGTGCAAGGTGCCCTTGGAGATGTGGTAGTCCTTCAGATGGTTCATCAGATGTGAACCGTAGCCTTTCATTTGCTCTCTGGAAGTTAGGGCGCAAAAGACGATTTCGGTGAAACCTTGAGTTTGGAAAGGCCTGAAGCAAATTCCGCCGATGAGTCGGCCTTCTTTGACCAAAGCCAGAGTTCGGTGTTTCCTGAGAGAAACCATGACCAACGTTATTTACATTTGCCAACCGATTTTTCCTCATGAATGGAAAATTGCTGGTAAATTGGGGAGGTTGAAAGAGCTGAGTCATAAAGTTCTACTTTCTTGGATGTATGTACATCGAAAGGCAATCAAAATCGGAACATCATTTTTCGACGCGAATCGAAAAATTCAGTGGAATCCGCGGTCGTTTTCAGAACCATAAAAGACCCTTGATCGTATCGAGCCTAACCATTGTCTTTCTAGGATTTAAACGAAAACCTAGTAAGTAAGCGAGAAGTACAATATCGTGTGTTTGTTGAAAAAAGCGGAAATCGCCCTTACACATCTTCAGTAAGCTAGTGACCTCTATTCCAAACTACAATAAAAAATTTCTTATGTTTGAACATTTCGAGTATTTACACAAAGGGGGAAAGCAGGATGCCTAAAGAAGAAACTGCTGTTTATGCAATGATTCTTGATTCATCGATGTTATTTGAATTTGAGTGAAAACTGGAGACTCATTAGAGACGAAGGAATCCGGTTGGTACATTATGATTTAAAAGTGAGTACCTACTATAATCACTCACATATAGTTTTCATTTTGAAATTTGGTAATTTTCCTGATTTCTCATCGGAATTCCTTCTGCAATAGGAGCTAATAGAAATACTCGTGAAATTTCTGAAAGAATGCAAGGAGATTGGATTCATGCAATCAAACGGGAGGACTGTTCTGACAAGCTGACGAAATATGATCGTGTGTGTTGTAGACATTTTCAATCTATTAGCACTATTAGCTTTTATTGCAGAAGTGGCAGAAAGAATTTTAATAAGAAATGACGAAATATCATAATGAAAACTATGTGAGAAATTACTATTTACCTAAAAAAAATTATATTCCTTCGTCTCTCGCTGCATTTTTTGTGTGTTGTACAACAGCACAATGAGAAGGCATGCTTGAATGAATGAATAGCGCAAAAAACACGATTCGTATGTCTTTCAATGTTTTTCAGAAAAGTAAGGTTGACGCGACCTATATGCTAGTCAATTTACAAATTCTGGGCGCAGAAAAATTGAAAATTCAAGTCACTATACAGTATGATGCAAATGTATGGAATAAATTCATTATTTCAGAAATGGGCGACATTTGAAGAAATTCCAAAAACACGTGAGTTTTAATTTATGAAGCCTCATCTCATGACATTCATATGAGAGATGTTACGTCACTGGTGTAGAAGTAATGACGTAATGGACGATTTTTTCAAATACAAGCAGGGGTCATGTGACACCTCGTTTGAAAGGTCTACTGATCGTCTATCCAACAGTCAAAATTTTGCATAAGAATATTGCAATTAAAATGGATTATCATTTGGTTAACTGAATCTTGCAGAGGTCTGCTACTGAGAATTGAACATCGAAGGGTCGTCTAGTTGAAAAAATACACAATAAAAAAAGTTCTGAACTCTAGTTTTTGGATTTTTTTCGGAAGTCGTCTTGTTTTGAAATGAATTTATTCCATACATTTGCATCATACTGTATGTACAACGTATAATGTTTCTGTTGGAATGTCATTGATTCGGTTAATTTTTCGTCACTTACGGATCAAATAACAGCTGCGTTATATATTCTATGGGCATCCTGGGTAGTTGGTGTGAGAAAAGGTTCTGGAGGCCGATCAGCCAGAGCATCGTCTGTTTGGAGACGGGTTCCGTGAGACTGTTGCCGACTACGTGCAGCTGGATAACGTTGCGTTTCTCCTCCAATCGCGGCGTTGCGTCCGTCGCGGGGGCATCTTCAGAGAACACTATCTGGATAACGTAATTCGATGGAGATTGTTATCGACTTTGGAATGCTTTTGAATGGATCGAAATAAGGAAATTCAACTTTTTTTCATCTCTTGGAGCGCACGAAAGGAAATCCCTATAATGTTCAAAGAACATCGTGCGTTCCTGGGGAGGATAGGGACAGGAGGTAGGTATTGGAATTTTTTTTGAACTTCTGGAGATTATATGTTGTGGGGAATACATCCTCAGGCAATGAATTCCAGAGCCTATGGATGAAGGAGTTTTGAAATTATTTTACCAGTGACTTTATATTTCTTTCTGGTTCTGGTTCCCACGAAAAGGGATATCCTGTAATGTTCAGAGAACATCGTGAGAACCAAGGAGAATAAGATAGGAATTGGTGTTCTTAAATTTCTGGAGGTTATATGCCTAGAGGAACACCTCCCTTGGCAATGTGTTCCATAGCCTCGCTGTTCGTTGGATAAACGAGTCTTTGGAAACAAATGTTCTGCAGGTCTCCAAAGTGACCACGAAAGGGTGCGAAACCTCAACTCGACGGGTTAATCTCGCGGGGACTGCCAAGGAAGGAACAATTGTTGATATTTCAGAAGAGCATCGTCCATGAAAATATCTATAAAATAGAGCCAGATCGCCAACTTTTCTATGGTGCTCCAGAGAAGTGAGTGACTTTGTGAGCGAGGCATCACCCACGAGACGAATTATTTTTTTTTGGACAGGATCCAACAGTTTCAGGGTATGTTTGGGTGCTGCACTCCAAATATGGAAAAGGAATCCAGGACAGGTCGGATCTGTGCCTTATAGATCATGAGCAGCTGACTGGAAGTGAAATAGCTCCTGGCCCTAAACAGGAAACCAAGTTTTTGGGGAGCACTTTTAGCAATTGATCTCACGTTATTTTCCGAAGAAAGGTTTTTCCTGATAGTAATACCAAGCATAGAAATGGATTTCTTCCTGACAAGCTTATGTTGGCCACAGTGAGATCGGCTTAACATTCATAAAGTCGGCATCATATGGGAGAGACTCTTAATAACAATTAATTTGAAATTTGTCACGTGACTTTCGGTACATGTCAAAAGTTCAATTTTTTTCAAACTAATCGATGAAAATTGACTTATTTGTTCGAATTTCAAAAAAGTTTACATAGGTGTCTCGAATTTGACTAATTATACCTTCGGCAAAACTGCCCTAAACTTGTGGTTCGATGATATTTTGATAGATGACTTTGTCATCGTTTTAGTACTGAAAAAAACAATTTAAATGACTTTCCCTCTCGAATAATAGACCATACATCAACTTCGCATCAAACATAATAGTAATTTGAAGCGGGGATTATTATTTACTGAAAAAAATCATATTCTCGTCGATAATTGATAATTGGAAGTTAGTAGCACGATGGAGCTAAGTGATGATCCTATTCAAGAAATAAAAAAATTATTCCACTCGCCTATTAGAAACACGCTTGTTTATTAACTACTTACATCTGGTCCTGTCATATAATTTGGGTCATCAATGGTGGCTATTATTTGCGAAACAGTGTCTTGTGGTAAATCTTCAAACTGCTCCTCTTGAGCCAATCTTTTTCTTTTTGCTTCTCTCAATGGTGTGTCAGATCCACGAACAGACTTTCCTTGAGAGAATTTATTTTATTGATGAATATGTTCGCACATCTGTTCGTGAGTCAAAATATAACCAAGCAAAAACTTTATATATGTTAAATTTTTTCTTCAGAATCGCATGTTCAAAAAATCATGCCTTAATTCAAATAAGTACTTCAGGATATAGAAACGAATTTCAAAGGAACGATTTTTATTTAAAGGTAGTAGAAGCAGTAAAGGTTTTCAAAAAACGAAATTGAATACCTAATCAGTAAATGTAATCAAGTATCGAGTAAGTAGAGTATCTGAAACATTAATGCATGAGCAAAAATTCGAAAAAAAATATCGATTTTTTCAAACTGCATCATTCAATGAACTAACACCAATGTTTCAATGGTTTCTTTTCCTAAATACTTATTCAAATGTCAATTGTCCAAACATAAAAAAAAGTGAATCAATCATTTTAGAACAAAAAATCGAATACACCAATCAGAAGACACAAAATCGATGAAAGATCGACATTATTTTTCAACAAAGAATTGTACAAATAAATTGAATGCAACAACATTATGCGAGAATTCTAATAATTCTCTGTTTTTTAAAACATGTTCACAAATGAACTGACTTACCACCCAAAGTACTTGTAGTAAAACCGTCTCTGTCAGTCTGACCCAAAGTCACCTTTTCGAATTCACCTTTTCGTGGAGTAATACCGGCACCAGCTGAAAAAGTCTAATATTTTTTCAAAATTCTCTATTTTTATATTTTCGGAGTCATTTGAATGTCAGAAAGCTTCACTCGTATTTTCCTCACTTGTGTTTCAAAGAGTAACAATTATATTGAAAAAATATCAATTGTGTTTCAAAAAGTATCATCTGTATTTCAAAAAGTATCAATTGTGTTTCAAAAAGTATCATCTGTATTTCAAAAAGCATCAATCGTTTTTTTTTTCAATTGACTCGGCCGTTTCTTGATGGGAATCCATAGCAAATGTAAAAACTCCACAAACGATAAGATTTTCACAAAATCCTTAAACACGCAACATGTTTCAAAAATAATAAGGACAAAACTCCGAAATTCGAAAAATCAGGGGTATACAAACTCAACTGTGGATCTTGTCCTAAGGTACATATCGGCCAGACAGGTCGTACGTTTAATCAGCGCATTCATGAACATAAGAAGAATTTTTTGAAAAAGAGAACAAATTCAACATACGCCAACCATATATTAGAAGAAAACCATAGTTTTGATGATGATTTAGAAATTTTACACGTAGAAAATAAAGGAATGATACTCAATCATTTTGAATCATTAGAAATCAACAAACCCAAAAATTTTGACATTTTACTTAACGATCAATTAGACCTCAATAGTTCACCACTGTTGAATTTGTTTTCTTAGTAGGTAATAAATATGTATTCGCTATCAACCCTTTCAAGTTAATCCGGTAAACCATATTTTAATGTAGATATTGTGCCTAATTTCCGAAAATGAAGGATTATCGTACCTGTCCACAGATAACTAATCCTTCAAATTGGGAAAGTCGGATATATAAAAGTTAAGCAAGCCAAGGTTGGTTTAGTTCATTGTACCAGTACCCGTCGAAGCTACTGTGTCAGCGAAACATGTTGTGTGTTCGAGAATTTTGTGGAAATCTTATCGTTTGTGAAGTTTTTACATTAGCATCACTTGTATTTCTTTTTCGAAGTGATCAATTATTGAAAAAAAAAACAATGGAGGCATTCATTGTAGGGGCCAATAGTGATTCGTTATTTCAATGATGTTAGCTCTCGGCTAGTGATGAGCGGTGGGTATTTACCCAGTAGCTGGGTGTTCATAAATTGGGCATTTATCCGGGTGATAAATCCTGATGATAAATACCCACCCAAAAGTGGGTATTTAAAAAAAATGATTTGATATTGTCGGCGCACAAAACCGCCGTGTAAACGAAGTAAAATGTTTGACATCGCGCCAGATAATAGAAAAGGAAGCAGAAGAAGAAGAGAAACAATAATATAACCTCACTTTCACAGTTTCACGTTTGTACTTTGCCACAAATCTGAATAAAATTATAAAAAAGGAAGATCCAGTTTGGTCTCGATTTACTATTTGCGATAGAAAATAACAATTCGTCTCTGATTCTCTCATATCATCCTAAATCAATTCAAGAACTTATATTCAACAGTCTCTAGAAGAAACAACATTATATACAGGGTGTTCCTAAACATCATGTACATCCGAAAGGAGGTAATTCCTCAGACCATTTTAAGACTAAAAGTTCATATAAACTCAGGTCCGAAAACGCTTCGTTACCGATCTACGGGGTGTTGAAATTTCAATTTTTTTTTTTGTTTTTCTTTATAGATTCTGCAGTTTTTGAGATATGTGGCTCAAATTTGAAACATAAATTACGTTATGGGGCTTACATCGATGGACAACTCAAATGTTTGTGAGAATCTACAGGGTGATATTTTTTTATGGGTCATGCCCCCTTTTCTCCCCCTGAACTTTTTTGCGGTGCGCTGTTGGTAAATTCTAAGGTACAAATTGAATTTTTTGGTTTGTTTACAAACTTTTTTGTATCCTGTAGTTTTTTCGTATCTAAGACCGTTATCGAGAAAAAAAAAATGAAATTTTTTTGTAATTCGCTAAAATTATTTTGTTCGCCGCTGTTTGCTAAAGGCTTTTTTTTGCAATAACGATTTATTATACAAAACATCCAAATAAAAGACATAACAAGGAAATAACGTTATAACAATTGTTGAAAGTGACCTCCTCCAATCCTTATACATGCGTCCGCTCTTCTTCTCATTGATGCCCGTACTCTGCCAAACACCCCCGGAGTATTTCTTACAGTTTCAAATGCATTTAATATTCGATTTCGTAAGTCATCGATGGTATTTATTGGTGTTGTATACACGAGAGATTTGAGATGCCCCCATAGAAAAAAATCTAGGCTATTTAAATCAGGGGACCTAGGGGGCCATAACTGAGGTCCACCCCGTCCTATCCACTTGTCCCCAAACACTTCATTTAAATATTGCCGAGCCAAAACAGAAAAATGTGCTGGTGCGCCATCGTGCATATACCACATTTGATGTCTGAGCAAAAGAGGTAAGCCTTCAAGTAATAAAGGTAATTCGTATTGCAAAAAATGCCTGTATGAGTTTCCAGTAAGCCGACCAGGCAAAAAGAAAGGACCAATCAAATGATCCCCAACTATACCACCCCATACATTCAATGAGAACTGCTCTTGAAAATGAGTTTCGACAATTCCATGTGGATTTTCTTCGGCCCATATGTGGTTGTTATGAAAATTTATAATTTGATTCCTGGAAAAATTGGCTTCGTCGGTAAAAAGGATTTTACAGTCAAAATTGGGGTTTACTGCTATCCTATTAAGGTACCACTGGCAGAAATTAACTCTTGAAGGGAAATCTCGAGGAAGGAGCGCTTGCACCCTTTGAATGTGATATGGATATAGTAGAGATTCACGCAATATACGCCAAACAACTTGGTGACTGATATTTAAATTTTTAGCGATTTTTCTGGTGCTAGTGTCTGGCTGTTCTTCTATTTCATGTAGAACAGCTTCTTCGATCTGTGGTGTTCTAACGGTACGTGGTTTACCTCCATCATTAGTGTTTTTATTAAATGTTCCAGTTTCTGCAAGACGCCTATGAATATCTGAGATTATTTCATTCACACCCGGCTGGACCTATGAAATGTCATGATTGAAGTCACATGATATGCGATATTAGCGGCTATTTAGGTAAACAAACAATATGAGCGGCTATTCTGTTCGTCAGCATAAGAGTGCTACGGTTGTCAAACTTTGACATAACTACCAGTCACTCAAAAATTTAAATGTCTCGTTTTGGGTCAACTTGGACTACGGAAATCCGTAATTATTTTAGCGAATCATTATCAGAAAATACCACGAAGAGTAAAGAGTCTGTCTGGAACAATTCATGTTTTTTTGCCAGCAGAAAAACTATGAATTTTCTGCGACTACCCCAACTCTCCCCAAATCCTGAAAGATTGGGTAAGGGAATGGTGATGAATATTAGGAATACATATTTAAAATCGATATGGAAAACTATACAGGAAAATTACTTCAATGAACATAAACGTAAGATAAAATCCATTTGGATATATCGAATTCAAAGGTGCTAGGGATGCGCATAATGCGAAAAAGCAAAGCCTGCAATATTTTCCTCAAGCATGAAAGGAAAGTTCACAAGCACTAACTTTAGATGAATTGTAATTTTATACTGTTCATGAAATAATCTTCCTGAATATCACTCGACCATGAAAAATAGAGACTATTATTTTCTTTAATTCATCTCGAGTACCTTGTATTTCGAGACAATTTAATTCGACCATATGAACATTAATAATCATAGAATAACTCCCTCGAGCTGAAGCTCTCGGGAGTTATTCAGATTATTAATATTCATATTATGGTCTCATCAAATTGACGAAATACAAGGTTACTCTCGATAAAACTATGGAGAAAAGGATAGTCGGCTATTTGTCTTGTTCTCGGGATATTACCTACGAATATTCGTTGATCAGGTATTATTCTATTGGGATAACGCTCCATGTATAGACGTCTGGCTTCTCTTGCATTTCCATTCGCAAGGCCATAAATAAAATGCATATCAGCCATATCGCCATTTGAATAATTTGGCATTGTTACGAGGCTATAACGAGTATTTATAACAAATTTACACCTTACAATTAACAATTTAAACACATGTAAAGACACCTAACGACTCCACATACGAACTGTCAAAAAACGCTCGCTCTCCACTGCATTTGTTTGAAAACAAATCTATTCTTTCATGATGGAAAGTATAGACAATACACTCATAGCCATCTGAGAATCTGCGTTGGAGCTAAGCTTATCGTTGGTCGGTTTAAATCCAGGTCCCGGGAACAGATCCCGGCATCGGATTTTTTTAAAGCAATGATTTCACTTTTTTCTTCTGTTTGAGATTTGAATTATTGGATACTTGGATAGCTTATACATTACGAATTTCTACTGAGTATTCATTTTCTCATACTATTATAATATTATGTGCCTATTTGAATGAAGTGTCGATCTTTTTTTGTCTGAAAGATGCGTTTGTAGAAAAAATAATGTGTGTATTTCAAGCACAAAGTGTCATTGTTGCTCTCCAAAGATTACCGCGCTCCGCTTCGCGTTGCACGGTAACTCTCTTTGTCGAGCGACAATCAATTACTTTGCGCTCGAAATACACAAATTGCTATTTCCATTTTTTCTCGACAACGGTTTTAGATACGGAAAAACTACAAGACACAAAAAAGTTTGTAAATGAATGAAAAAATTCATTTTGTATATTATAATTTATCAACGGCGCACCGCAAAAAAGTTCAGGGGGAGAAAAGGGGGCATGACCCAAAAAAAATTATCACCCTATAGATTCTCACAAACATTTGAGATGTCCATCGATGTAAGCCCTATAACATAATCTATGTTTCAAATTTGAGCCACATATCTCAAAAACTGCAGGATCTATAAAGAAAAAACAAAAAAAATCTTGAAATTTCAACACCCCGTAGATCGGTAACAAAGCGTTTGCGGACCAATGTTTATATGAACTTTTAGTCTTAAAATGAGCTGAGGAATTACCCCCTTTCGGATGTACATGATGTTTAGGAACACCCTGTATAGGTACTATGTATATGATTTAAAAATGATTATCGGATTATCTAATTTTTTTTTTAGTTGTTCTTTCATAATTTTCCCTGCTATAAACATATAGGTTCCTTGGGAATAATAAAGATTATTATTATTTCGCCCCACCTGACGACAACAACTTGAACACTTCTGAGCGGTTTGTTTTGATGATATGACCAGTAAGCACAAACAAAAAACAAATGTGAACCAATGAAAACAAAGTAAACATGCCGCTTTGACATATTTCAAGAACTCCGATAGGTGGCGTACGCTTATTTTCTATCGCGAATATAAAAAATGGTGGTAAATGTAATGTGAAACCGAACAAAAACACTCAAATGTCAAGAAAATGCAAAAACATGTACTAAAACAATTTTATTTCATTTTATAAGTGTGTAGTTTCGTTTTTTAAATATAGATTTTATTGTTTATTGTAGTTTTTTGTGCAGGGTGTCATTTCTCTAGTACCAGATACCAGATCTCAGACCACTGGTGTTTTTGATGAGATCATGGAGAGTTGTTAAACCTGAACATTGTTTTTGGTTGTTTTGGGAAAATAGCGTAATAAAGAGCAATTTTGCATGTTTTCTGTTGAAAAGTTCATAAATACAAAATATCCTCATAAATTCGACGAGTTTTGTGATCATGATCCGATTCTATTCAAAATTGGTTTCTGGGGAGTTTCGGGGTCGGAGATCATGATTCTTTCGTGAAAATTTGAAAATTCAAAATGGCGGATCCAAATGGAGGACGAGTTTTGACAGTTTTGTAATTATAACCCGCTTCTATTCAAAACTGGTATCCGGGGGCTTTCGGGGACGGAGATTGTGATTCCTTCGTCAAAATTGGGAAATTCAAGATGGCATATCCAATATGGCGGAAGAGTTTTGTAATTATGTTCCGATTCTATTTAAAATTGGTATCTGAGGGTTTTCGGGGTCGGAGATTATGATTCTTTCATCAAAAGTTGGAAATTCAAAATGGCGGACCCAATAGGACGGACAAGTTTTGTGATTATGATCCGATTCTAATCAAAGTTGGTATGTGGGGGTTTTTGGGGTCGGAGATTATGATTATTCCATACGGAGATTTTGATTCCTTCGTTAAAATTCACGATAGCGGACCCAAAAATAATTCAAAAAGGTACAGTTTCCCGTCATGCTCAGCTTTGCTGTTACTATAACCAATTCACAAGAGCAGACAAGTGAAACTTTCTCCCGCTTACTTCTTATCCTGGCATCGAGCAGCGACTGGAAGTGCACCGACTGCGCCTTGAAGTTGGGGTCCCAAATCGGCGAATTGGTCGCGTATATCTCCTCGTCCAGCTGGTTCAAAAAGGGCGGAAAATTGGTCAACAGCATCACCCTCCTGTCGGCCGACATTGTGTCCCTCTCCCTGTGGAACTGGTCCATGATCTGTTTGCGGATGTACTTGAAGACGGCGCGCAGCAGGGTTCGGCCGAATACCATGGTAGTGTCGTGGTGTTGCAAAGAGTCGCAGAATGTCGGGACGTAGCAGAAGACCAGCCATCTAGGATTATTTTTATTTCAAAAGAGAAAACATTAACGCTGGGGAAGGCCCTCAGACCAAATGGCAATAGTAAGAGTAATTTTTTTATGTTCTGGTTCCCACGAAAAGGGATATCCTGTAATGTTCAGGGAACATCGTGAGAACCCAGGACAACAAGGTAGGAATTAGTGTTCTTCTTGAATTTCTGGAAGTTGTATGCCTCGAGGAACACCTCCATTGGCAATGTTTTCCAGAGCCTCGCTGTTCGTTGGATGAACGCGTCTTTGGGAAGAGATGTTCTGCAGGTCTCCAAAGTGACCACGAAGGTGTGCGAAGCCTCAACTCGACGGGTTAATCTCGGGAGTGCCAAGGGAGGAACAATTGTTGATATTTCAGAAGAGCATCGTCCATTAAGATATCTATGAAAAAGAGCCAGAGCGCCAACTTTTTTACGGTGTTCCAGAGAAGTGAGTGAGTTTGTGAGCAAGGCATCACCCACGAGACGAATTGCCCTTTTTCGGACAGAATCCTTCAGTTACATGTTTGGGTGCTGCACTCCAAATATGGGAACATTATTCCAGGACAGGTCGGATCTGTGCCTTATAGATCATAAGCAGCTGACTGGAAGTGAAATAGCTCTTGGCCCGAAACAGAAAACCAAGTTTTTGGGATGTACTTTTAGCAATCGATCTCACGTGATTTTCCCAAGAAAAGTTATTGCGGATAGTAATACCAAGCATAAAAATGAATGTCTTCAAAGGTATGGTTACTCCTGACAAGCTTATGTTGGGCACAGTGAGATCGGCTTTATTGGATCCCCTTCCGAGAATTGTTGCCAAGTCCATATTTATGTTGTCAACATTTCTCCCTCGTTCGTTTCTGATTTGCCTGGCTGGTATTGTAGCACTGGAAGAGAAGGCGGTATGGAGGGTACTATCATCCGCGAAGCCGTGCACTGGACATGAAATCTTTAATATGGAGTAGAAATAGTGTTGGTGCTAGAATTGATCCTTGCGGAACCCCAGCATTTATGATAAAAGAGTCAGATGAAACTCCGTCGACCACTACATGGAGAGACCTGTTTGAGAGAAAACTAGCTAGCAGAGAACATAGCTGGGGAGGCAAGCCATAAGATGGAAGCTTGGCGAGGAGTCCGTTGTGCCAGACTCGATCGAATGTCTTGGAGATATCAAGCGTCACGGCTAAGGTTTCACCATATTTTTCAATAGATTGCTGCCATATATGTGAGACGTAAGCGAGCAGGTCACCAGTTGATCTCTGATGACGGAAGCCATATTGCCTATCGTTGATAATATCTGAATGTTCCAGGTATTTCAGGAGCTCGATGTTGATAGCTTTCCCCATGATCCTTGAAATAATAGATAGCAGTGCGATCGGTCTGTAGTTGCTAGGTAGGGTTTTTTTTGCCTTTTTTAGGAACTGGTTGTACTCTTGCAATTTTCCAGTTGGACGGAAATATCCCCAATTTGTAAGAGTAGTTGAACAACTTGCAGAGAACAGGTGTTAGTTCGGGAGCACATTTCTTGAGAACAATCGGTGAGATTCCGTCGGAGCAACAAGCTTTGTTGGTGTTGAGACCCAATAAAATCTTCCTTATAGTATGTTGGCGAAAGGTGACCTCGGGCATATGACTATCAATTGGCGTTATGTTTGAAGGTTGTTTTCCCGATGAATCCAGAGTGGAATTTCCAGCAAATAAATGTGCCAAAATGTTGGCTTTCTCCTGGACGGTTGTGGCTAGTGTTCCATCTTCCTTGGTTAGAGGAGGAAACAAGCCCGGAAGTGAAGTTTCTTTCTACAGCTTTGGCGAAGGACCAAAATGAACGGGATGCGTTAGGACATTCAACAAGTTTCAATCTTATTTTGGCATTATGAGCATCCTTTGATGATCGAATTGTATCATCGCATATGCCTCTAGCCTCGACATATTTTGCTCTAGTCTCAGGGCCTGGATATTTCTGCCATCGACAGCTCTAGAGCAGTTTCTACTGAACCAAGCCTTATCGGAACAATATACTCCAACAATCGTAAACGCCAAACACGGTTAAATGAATGATATCGAGAATGGTGGGGATAATAACAGACACTTGTACAGACTTATCCATCGAAAATGCCCACCCCTAGCTATACAGGGTATGTCACGACAAGCTTACACAATCTCTATTATCAAGAATCAGTCGGAAGAAATCCATGAAAATGCTCTCTTCATTTAAAATATTTCAAGCACTGAAGTGTTGCCGCTTATTTCAAAAAGTAGCAAGAACTTTTTTATTCCAAATAATGTAATATGTATTTTATTGCATTTTCAGATTTTCCCTGAAGAGCTGATTTCATCGATACATCACACTTATTGGGGTCTATCGGAAATGATTACAGAGATATAGGGTCTTCAAAATCTCAACTTTTGATCTACTTAGGATGATCAGAATTCTGAATCTTGAACCACCCTGTATCTGTTCCGATTGAATATCAGTAAATAGTGAATCAAAAGTTGAGATAGGGACATTTGAGCCATTTTGACCGATAATGAATAGTTTTGACACAAAAAATCCAAAAGTTGAAAAATAACGATTTTGAACACTCTAAACTCTTTAATCATTTTCGATAGACCCCAAGTGTGATATATCGATGAAATAAGCTCTTCAGAGAGAATCTAAAAATGCGATAGAATACAGGGTGTTCCATTCGAAATATCAATGTTGCAACTACTTTCTAGTAGAAGCGGCAACACTGCATTGTCGAAAATATCTTAAATGAAGAGAGCGTATTTTTAAATATAAGCTTGCACATTTTTATGGATTTCTCCCGACTGATTCTCGATATAAAGATAGTGTGAGCTCGTCATGACATACCCTGTATATACCTTACTTTTTTTATAGAGAAAGAAAAACAATATCCGGAAGTTGAATGCCGCAATGAGGCCTTTTCACAGTCCTTATAAAAAGTTCAACAGGGTGATCCCTGAAAGCTTGAAAAACCACAAATTATTTTTGTTGAATGGAACACCCTTTTTTATATTATTTTCGGAATCTGTGATTTTTTGTGATGACAGACATCATATCTTTCATTTTTACCTCATTATTACCACCTGGCTTCTACAGATATTGTATTTTGCATCATTATCTAATACAGTCCCAAACTGATCAAGTGAGCACTAATCAATGACACAAAATTTGTTTTTCTATGCTCAAAAGAGTGGTGACAAATATTCACAGATTCCGAAAAACATAAAAAACAGGGTGTTCCATTTGAAAAAGTAATTTTTGTCACGCTTTTATGGATCACCCTGTGAAATTTCTGATAATGGCTTTGGAAAGGCCTCACTCTGGCATTCAACTTCCGCATGTTTTCTTTATAGATCTTCTCTCTCTGTCACACTCATTGAGCTTATGGAAACTTCAAATAACCGGATTGTTGAATTCCTTGTAATAACCTCTAACCGATTATGGAATAAAATACAGGGTGTTTCATTTGAAAATCAAAAGTTGATGTCATTTCCAGGAAAAAAGGTAGATGAAAAATATGCCCTAGTGCCCTCAAGTGAGCAAATTCGATGTTCCAAATATCAGAAATATAGCTAGAAAAACAAAGGAGGAAAGGTATAGCTGTAAAGACTACAGTAAGATTGCCGTTAAACTAAGAGCAAACAATGTTGAACCACAGAACAATGACACAAGGAAAATACTATCAAAAAATGAGAGTGAAAATGGCAGCAAGAATATAATGATCAATTCATTTTATTTTTAAATGGCTGTCCTCAAATAGTCAAGTTATTGCAACATATTTTTGAAAATGATAAAAATAAAGATGACTAGATGACTTCAATCTGATTATTGTCTTTCTATATTTGTTATACTTTCAAATGTTCAATATTGTTAGAAAGTTATCGCAGAAGCATTGTTAACTCAAAAATGCTTCCCTCTGCCTTTCTTCAATAATATTGTCAGGCAAAAAATGCATCAAAGATAATTTAGTTCTTAAATGCAAATTTTAGTGACATGAATTTTATCCCAAAAAAATTATTAACATTACTGAAATGCAAAGAAATATTAACATCATAATAAAGGAATGAAAAAATACCATAACAGCTGACACCCTCATCAGAGATTCTCTCATTGAAGGAATAATTCAATACACCAGAATAGAAACAAGATATTTGCCAGGATATTTGCCACATTCTGAAATCTGATATTTATAAATAGAATTTGATACTATAAAAACTGAACATATTCTCTATAAAAACTAGTTAAAGCCTCTTCTATATTTCCAGTGAGATTTTCAGAACATTATTATCATTATAATTTCAATCTCTTATAAGAATTGACACTTTACTCATGCACTACTTCAATTATATTGTCACACAAAAAATGTATCAAAGATATAAAGTCCTAAAATGCAAATTTTAGTGACATGAATTTTATCACAAAAAAATTATTAACATTACTGAAATGCAAAGAGATATTAAAATCATAATAAAGGAATAAAAAAATACCATAACAGCTGACACCCTCATCAGAGATTCCCTCATTGAAGGAATAATTCAATACACCAGAATAGAAGCAAGATATTTGCCAGGATATTTGCCACATTCTGAAATCTGATATTTATGAATAGAATTTGATACTATATAAACTGAACATATTCTTTATGGAAACCAGTTAAAGACTCTTCTATATTTCCAGTGAGATTTTCAGAACATTATTATTATTTTAACTTCAATCTCTTATAAGAAATTAACATTTTACTCATGCACTACTGCTGTTTAATGACCATTATTTTGTCTATATTTATAAATGAATACCTACCTTGTATATTCAATTTTGTACTTAGTAGCCTCTTCCTGACTAACAATGTGCTTCTGACTGCTTGGACAAGGAAAATCCCAAGTATTCAAGCAGTGGAACAGAATTCTCACCAATTCATACATGGTTTTCAATTCCTGCTGTCCAATATGTGAGAATTTGAACACCAGCAAGTTGGAAACAGCTTTGTGTATGCTAGGTATTTGGAATGGTGGTTGGCCTAATGGACCTTCCACCACAGGGGTGTCCAAAGTAAGAACACATTTTCTAAGTAACTGAAATAGATGATTATTACTGTGATCCAAATTGATGCAGTAGAAATTTCAGCTGAAACAATTTTTACCCTGAACAGATAGAGGTACACTCTCTTGGTTTCTGGATTTTCTTCTCTACTCATTGCTGTATACATATTGTCAACATCTACCACCATACTTAGTAATCTGTTCAATTCTTGTTCAGGTTTATCTTTCAAGTGAGAAATATGCATTTCTAAAACAAATCAAAATCAAATTTGTTTCTCTTAAACAATGTTTCCTGATATTACTCACCCAATAAATGTTCACATCTGCAAGGATCAGTGAATGTAGGGTTTGGTTGAGTGCTATCCACCCTTTTCCAACCAATGCAGTCACATTTTTCTGCCTGAAAATCAAGCTGAAAATAATCAGCCTGAAACATATACCAACAATTCCAACCATCCACAGATCATCATACCTGACATTTGGAGTATACAGCAAGTTTGAGTAGTTTCTTGTTATAGGGAAAGGCTAGGACAGCCTGCTTCTTCTGCTGGATCCTCTGTAGATTGTTCAATCTAGATGCATACTGATCAGGCTTGGCCCCACTGGTTGTGCCCTTTTGGCCTTGGGTTGGGTGTTCCAGAGGACCCATGGATGAGATGTCCATCGCTTCAATAGCCTGTTCCGACATGGCTAGATGTGCCTGATCCTGATTACTTGAGGATAAAGGGATAGGTACCCCACATTCAAGTAATTATTTTTTTTCGATCTACCACACTGCAACACAAGATTACATCGATTGCTGCGAAGTGTGATACATTTTAAATATATCCGAATTTTATCTTGGGATTAGTATTGAGTAGAAAAATAAAAATGTTTGAAAACAAGACATTCAAATAAACATTCGGCGTTGAGGTTGAGGGTTGACCACTGACAAGAATGACAAGTGACATATAGATACAGTTATTCTTCTTCTCATTTAAAATCCATTGGCTTAGTTCACTATTATGCCTTATGATTCACAGCTATATAGTTCACTATTTTCTCTTCACAATGATCTCTTCACGAAGGAAAAAAGGGAAGGTATTGTTTCTTCCAGCAAAGAAAGAATATTGAAAATCAGTATTCAACAGATATATAAATTATTGTTTTCACCAGAAACACCGGAGTCTAGAGTACCTTGATGGATTTTATGCTCTTCCTGTCCGTTCCTTAGATCATTAAATGACCAAAAAGTAAAAAATAGGTTAAGTTAAGTTTAGTGAGGTTATGTCTATGTTACTTCAGTGTTCAGTGAAAGGATCATGAAAAAAAATTAAAACACTGAACAACATGGAAAATTCGAAGGAAAACGATGGAAACCAAGAAAATATCGATGGACAAGTTAAAAAGACACCTATGACAGATGAAGAAAGGCTTGAACTGGCGAAGAAGTTAGATGCGGACTTGGATGAATTCATTGATTCACTTCCAAAAAATAAGTATACTGATGGTTGGCCTGAAGATAGATGGGAAGAAGTGAAGTTTATTAATTATTTTCATTAATGTTCCTGTGATGAATGATAGGTTTGCAGGAAATGGATAAACATCCATTCTTCATGAAAGAACCACCAAAGCCTGGTCAAGAGGTGCATCCCTTGTATGAAGGACTCCAGAAGTTGAAATACGATCCAGAAGAGAATGAGCCAGAAGGTCAATTTTATTTTGCTTTTTTTGAAGAACTGGTCATTTATGTATTCATATTTCAGAACTTGCTGAGAGCTATAAGGTAGATGGAAATTTCAATTTCAAACACAAAAACTATAGGTTAGCTATCCTAGCTTATACTGAAGGAATCAAATTGAAATGTGGCAATCCTGATATTGAATCAAATCTGCTGAATAACAGAGCAGCATCTCATTTCTTTCTGAAAAATTACAGGTAAGTAAGTCAGATTTGGTCAAGGGATCAATTAATTATTTGGACTCATACATTTCCTCAGATCATCATTAAAAGACTGTGAATTAGCTTTGAAAATCAAACCAGACTATGAAAAGGTGCTAGTGAGGGCAGCAAATTGTTGTTTTCATATGAAGCAGTATAAAAAAGCTGTTGATTTTTGTGACATAATCTTGGATAAACAAAAAGATGATAGAGATATCTTGGAATTACGAAAAAAATGTGTAGGGGCTGAGAAACAGAAAGAAAGAGATGAAAGAAGAACAGAAGTTGAAACAAAAAAGAAAGCAAGAGAAGAGAAGGCTCTTCTGGGAGAAATTTTGAGTAGAGGATATCATATTGATGGATCAAAAGGTATTTGATAGTCATCTAAAAGAAACATTGAATTAGCAATTTTTAATATCAATGTATCAAAGGGAACCCCAGAAATGGAATTATGAAATCATTATTATTACATTTTTAGGAAATCTTTCAATAGATAAATTAGAACCACATTTCCCTCAGCTAGTACACAATAGAGTGTTTTTGGATGAGTCAAACAGTTTAGTGTGGCCAGTTGTATTTTTTTACCCAGAATACAAAATCATGGACTATATCCAACATTTTAGTGAACATACCAAGTAAAATAATGTTAATATCCATTAATTTTTGTTTCCTCACAGAATTATTCTTTTCAGATTTTTGGAACAACTAAACCATGTTTTTGAAACAAATCCTGAGTGGGATACTCAGAATGCATATAGAGCTAATGATTTGAGTGTCTACTATGAAACTCCTAAGAAGAAAATCAGGAAAATTGATCTTGAAAAAAGTCTAGGGGATATTTTGAAATCAAAAGAGTGAGAAATGACGACTTGAGTTTTCATTGTTTTAAATATATATTTTTTCAAGGTATGTTATATTTGGAGGTACACCTTCTTTCATAATTTTGGTCAAAAACAGCAGAACAGAAGAGCTATTTTTGAAAGACTATGAGAACTGAACTAAGAGATTTCAAACAGAATATAGTGAGTAATATCAAATTTTATACCTGGCAATCTACAATAGGCAATACAATACACTGTGATTTCCAAACAATTGTTAAGTCATTGCATAGTCAATATATTATATGTATGCAATGCTTGGATACATTTTCCAGCAGATGTCTCAATTTTACCTCAATTCTATCAACAAACAAATCAGAAAATGTCCATCCCATACCATCACCATCCCATACATTCAAGACTTTGTCAAACTGATGAATAATTTTGTCATATTTCTCATTCATTATATTTTGTTCCTGCATTTACCAATAAGTTACCAAGGAAATAGGAGTTCGAGATGGTTTGACTGTTTGAGTAATGTGTCACTCAGTATATGGCTGAGCCTCCTCAAAGATTTTCCTTAAACTGATATCATCTATACTTTCTCATTAAAAGGGCACCAAAATACATGGATTTTGATTTTATTTCCTGTTTTTAGGTAAATATTTTTGAATTGGCAACAGTGCTTGCCCACGCATCACACGTTGAAGTCTGCAAATCACGCGTAAAATATTCAACTTGGCAACATCTATAGGAGGCTAGACTCCTTCACAATGCGCAACCCACGCGCGCAATGCACCCGAATAGCACGTGTTTGTCGTGTCGCGTCGCGAATTGCGGACAATCCAGCGCGGGTACATTGTTTATGTTCATGTTAGGTTAATGGTTAGGGGCTCTATAAATTTCTGAAAAATTAGTGTTTTAAACGATTGCGATTTAGTGGAATACTTTTTGGTGAACCCATTCAGTGCTTTGTCTTATGAAGATAAAATGATTGTGAAAAACGAACGTCCGACACCGGAATTAAAAAATCTGATTGTAACAGGTAACAAACAAAATCGTTCGTTCAATTCTGATAATTATAAAAAATATATCTGGTTGACGGGATCTGAGATAAGGAATAAGCTATTTTTTTGGTACTGCGTATTATTTTCAACCGATAAGTCATCATGTTGGGGGCGATTAGGATATAATGATTTGAAAAATTTGCCTCGCGGATTGGATAGACACTGCAAATCACAGGAACACATCTCTTCAAGTATTAAGTTCAGGTTAACTGGTAAACAGAATGTAGAGCGTTGTTCTTCACAGTAAATCTCATATCATTCAGCCTCCTCTGCCATGAAAGTCACGTGCCGCCACTGGCTTCATGGCCTGTGTTATTTTCAATGTTTATTTAAATAAAAATCAATGAAAGTGTAACAAATCAATGTCGCCGCCCATGCTCTCTTTTAAATATAATCAAATATTCTTCAGGAGGCTAGGCAACTCATCTTTCATTAATACAGATTCAAAATCCGTGCGCGCACCTAGGTCGGTTATGGTTAGGAGGAGATTTCCGAAATGTCTTGCGCTGGTCATTTCACTCTTGAACGGGCAGTTTTCTCAACCAAGTGAAGAATTTAACATCCACGTCGATCGAACCCAAAAATTTGGTGTTTTTGGTTTTGTATGTGCCCAATCCCAGCCAACCATGAGATGTATAAGTGATGTATACACCACATCACTTTGTGACATGCGATATCGCATGAAGTCACAAACATGTTACCGATACAACGTGGCGATGCGAAAATGTCCGACTCAAGCAACATCACTGTGACGTCGTCGTTCAGACATGAAATGCAACATCACATGAAAAATCACTACCAGGTCACATACAAGTGTACATTTCATATTACAAATACATCACACTGCGACATCGATGATGTGGTCGCCGTACCTGTGATATTCGTGGGATAGGTATATAATAATAATAGTTATTCAACTTTACGAAGCTGCTATAATATGTGCTATAAATCATCTCAGATATTTCAACAGAGAATTTGGAAGGAAATAATAACGAAACAGCATAAAAATTGACGTCACCATTTATTCAACGTATCGCCAAATGGCGGCCATGAAGGTTCGTTTGAAATTCAACAATTTCGAAAAATGCATAGACTCATTATTTACATGAAAAAAAATGATGAGAAGTGTTTCAAAAATTAATTTATGTTCCTACGGACACAGTGGAGAAAATGAATGCCAATTATTCATTATCATAAACTTAAGAATAAGAATTATTATTATTTGTATTTGACTGACGTAATTGTTGTTGTTTGCATCCACATGCACACTAATTGGAGCTGCTGGTTTGATTTAGATTTAATCAAAAATCATTTTCGACAATTAATTTTTGTTTGCAACTTATATTAAAACCGATACATGCATGAAATCCAATCTGAAATTCATATTTTGATAAATGATTCCATTACATGGCTCTACTACACAAATTAATTCACTATGATTAGTACAAACACGAGAACAAACATCAAATGGATATTATTTATACATGATCAATCAATCCAATTAAAATTTGATTGATTTCCATTCCCTATTCCTACAAATCTGTTTGATTTTATAGGTTATTCGCAAATCTGTATTAATGGGTCATGTATTAATTTGCAAACGAAACAATTATAAATACAATATAATAATTTTCTCTGAATCAGATGTCTTAGGGAAAGGAGACAGACTTTTCTCAAAAGTTTTTAATATACCTTATTTGAAGAGTTGATGACTTATCACCACTGTGTGAAGCTCAAATTTCAAAATGGGATTCTCTTACCAGAAACATGAAATGAATTAATGAAAATCGTTTCAGATATGTTCAAAGTAATATTCAGTACTATTCTAAGACATAATATGACTATGTGTATTGGGATTGATAAATCTTTTCTATTTTTACAGTTATACAGTGGCGATGGGGAATCCAATTCAGGAAAAGTTAGGTACAAACAAAAATAGTTATTTATTATACAAGGGAAAAAAGTAGTAGATTTTAGCTCCAGGTTGTGTTGTCTCCCGACGCGTAGCGGAGGGAGACAAAAAACCGTGAGCTAAAATCTAATATTTTTCCCGTGTATAATACACTATTTTTTTCTGTGACAGAAGGAAGAACGAATCAATATTGGGAAGATATTACATTATTTCGAAATCTGAAAATTATCGACGTGAAATTTCAAGTTTTTAACAGTAAGGACACCTGCGTTTTATAGACATCTTCATCATTCTTTTGAAGTAATCAAATATCTGATGTCACTTCTGTCAGTTCAATTCTGTGATTTGATTTTGAAAAATTGCGAATTCAGTAGTTGTTTAGTAATATACGAAACCGCGAAGTCGAATGGAAGATAAAAGGACTTGCAGTTCTTTCTCGGAGACGGTATTATTGACTTATTTTTCGGAACTATAGCACAACAAAAGTCATTAACAGAGTATATATATGTGATATATATCCGGGAAAGAAGTACTCACTTTTTTCCCACGGGAAAAAAGTAATTTATGAAAAGTGACATTTTATAACCTGCCAACAGAGATGAAATGCCAAACTTTTTTCCCGTCACAGAAAAAATGGATTTATGTATGGCAAATTCGTATTTTTCTTGACACTTCTTCAGTTTTCAGTGACAGTGATCTAAAATACACTTAATTTTATCTTGGCTTTCTATTTGAATTTTTACTTGCAAAAATTTTTCAGAATTCGATAAAGAATGTTGTTTAGTATCATGGGGGAAATGAAATAAATGAAATGTTTCGCATCTTTTCTTGCAGTTTTCAACTACACAAGTAGCCCTTCTAATTTTTTAAGAACTGAATTTTCGAATAATTCAATGTCATGTACGTTCATGAACTGTCAGGGTCATGTCATTTAAAAATTTTTAGGGTTATGCCTCCTATCACTGCTTGTCATAGTGTCCGTACTCTTGTTACAACAACACTGTCAAATACATACAGGGACTCTACCTAGGCTATATTCCGAATTCAACTGACAGTACTGAATCTACTGATGTTTCATTCCGAAATCAAAAAAATCACTGAATGTGACAGATGCTTGTGAGCAGATATACTATTCATTCCAAATATTTCGACTCAACATTCTGCTGAAATTGCTGAGTATCAAAAGGTAGTGTGGCTTCAGTAAACTGTCATTATTTCAGAGGGGGAAGGAATGTAACATTTATATCCGTTTTTAATTATATTATTTTCGATATCAGAAATTACCCGTTATCGAATTAATAAACGCTGAGAATACCGGGTGACACAGGTTATCGGCCCACCCCTGTAACTTCTGCATTCGTCAACGGATTTTTCTGAAATTCGGTACAGTTATATAAGCAACTATTTCGGATTTGATCACATTACAATCCAATATGGCGGACTTCCGGTTTCTCTGGAAATGCCAGCAATTTTGTTTTTTCAAATGGAACACCCTGTATATTTTAACATATTCAAGTTTAACAGGTCAAAACAAGTGCAATGTTGATGTCTAATGTCATTTATTCCACAGCTCACCTAGTTGAAAAATTTTTCTAACTGCAACGAAATTCATAAACTAGTTGTTGATTTTTGAATGTATACAATTTGTTACTGCACCGAAAAACAAAAATGATATGTCATCTTGTTCCTTAATGTATGTTTTAGAGAGACGGGTAGGTGGCCCATAGGAGTTTCATTTGAAAAAAATTGATTTTTGATCAAAAAGTGATGTGACTTTATTGATTCCTGGATAAGTGACACAAAAAATAATTTTTCAGAAAAAATTATGATCTTCTGTTATGTGTGACTCATTGTGACTAGTCTTGACCACATCTCATTTATCCACGAGGTAAAATGAAAAAACAGTTTTAATTTAAATTTTTTCGAAAGAATGACATTTGAAATAAATATTGCACTTGTTTCGACCTGTTGAACTTGGATATGTAAAAATATACAGGCTGTTTCATTTGAAAAAACAAAGTTGCTGGCATTTCCGAAAATACCGGAAGTCCGCCATATTGGATTGTAATGTGATCAAATCCGAAATGATTGCTTATATAACTGTACCGAATTTCAGAAAAATCCGTTGACGAATGCAGAAGTTACAGGGGTGGCCCGATACCCTGTGTCACCCGGTATAATATAGAGATTATATAGAGTATGAAGTAGAAGAGAGGTGACGAAAGAAGAAGCAGCATTGGGTGAATGAATATCTAAATAAACCTGAAATGTTTCCTGAATTCATCATCATTGATGCCATATTACATAAATGTCCAAGAATTCTTCATCACTCGAGCTTGAATCGTCATCGTCAACAATCGAAGAAACTATGAAGGCTACAAGAACCGATTGTTCTTCCATGTTAAATATTATATTCTTCAAATGTATGTCAAGCAGGAGGCAAAATAATCTAGTTCAGATAAACGAGATACTACCTATAGAAAAATTTCACCAGCTGATCAACTGCTGCTGACTACTGATGAAAACCATGAAAACGTGTCCCGAATTGAAGCACTGTACTTTTGATTTTATATTTCGGAACACATATTTTCAGCAGAGTCAGTGGATCTGCTGACAGTACTGACCAGTTGAATTCGGAATATAGCCCTAGTACTAGTAGATCCAGATCCTGATCACGGCGAGGGCATTTGGCATTTCATATTGTAATTCCTGGTTATCCTGGTACCTGGTGCCTGGTCGTTTCCACCGATACAACCTTAGAAACTTACTGCTCAGTGCTTATTTTTATGTACTCATTGTACTATGGGAAAGACA